TGGTCGACTACGTGGGAGTCCAGCGACATAGCCATTACGCTAACTGCTGGTCCCAATACATTTTTTAATGTAAATGAAAAAACTATGCATGGATTTCAGTTTTTTTCCATATCAAAATTGACTTGTATTTTAATTCCATTTTTCCATGAAATTTTTTAAGAGAGATTTTTGCTCTAGTATGCGTGTTCTCTCCAGAGAGACAGAAACTGAGAATTCAACCCCCGGGGGGATGGCCATGCCACAATCCCTTCTCCTCCATTCCTGTCTTGGGATCTTGGGCACACATGGGCATGCATCCAGCCTGAGTTTTAAGCCGCTGGATCCAGGACTTGAACCATGGTCGACTACATAAGAGTCTAGCAACATACACATTATGCCATCTGCCAGTCCCTCCATGAACATTTTGAAGTCCCTTCATATATCAGTATTTATTTTAATAGGCCTAGAACATTAATAAGGAATATTATCTTATCTATGTCTATATATATATTTTTTCTTTTGGAGAGGTTTTCACTATAGGGCGCGTGCGCTCGCCAGACAGAGAGAGACATAGAGACAGAAAGCAAGAAATCACCCCCCAGGGGAGATGGTCACACCTCAATCCCTTCTCCTCCATTCTCCTCTAGGGATCTTGGGCACGCACACACATGTGCCCGGCGTGAGTTCTAAGCCACTGGGTCCGGGACGCGAACCGTGGTCGACTATGTGGGAGTCCAGCAACATAGCCATTATGCTAACTGCTGGTTCCCATCTATGTCTATATTTTTATATTATGCTGTATATGTTCACATACTGTATATATTGTATAAACAATGTCTGGAGCTAACTAAGAATAATTCATTTAACCAGTTATCTTCCCTCAAAATATTTTAATCATGGAGATTGACTTTCATGTTTTGCAAACTTCTGCTACCTAATGAAATGACAGCATTTAACTGAAATTTTGTTTTTAAACATACTTGAATATTTTCAAGTTTTATAATGAATTTCTAAGAGAAAATATATTGTGAAATAAGAATAAGGAAAAAGTCCATATTCTCAAATGTGTGAAATATTGTTTCTTCAATTAGATGTGTCTGGCTTTTCCATGTAGAACTCAGAGATCCATTGATAATATGACCCATCAATATCAGATAATTTTATATTCTGATAAATTCCATCTCCCTTAAAAGTAAAAAAACTAGATGCAAAGGAAATTATTACTAAAGAAGTAACTAAGTGTAATAACATTTATTTGTTTTATGTTTTATATGAAATTATGTCAAAATATTAGTAAGTATTGTCATATGCGTCATAGGTAAATTCTGAACTATTTCGGGTGTGTATGTTAGTAAAGGAACCTCTAGAAATTGCTTCAATTAGTGTTTGGCTTCAGTAATAGCCATTACATTTCCATCTGTAATTGTTCTGTTGACTAAAAATAGAAACAAGGAATACATCACATTTTGTTTTACCTACCTAATTTGAAGTACACCATGCTTGCATTTCCTTTTAGAGTTCAAGCTCATCTCTGAACATCCTAGTATCACTTTCGTATCACCCTTGAGCATCCACAGTTGTGATTATCGATTTGGGTTTTGAATGCTGCAACTTAATGGACACATATTAAAAGATATTCCAGGTGATATATATTAAGCCCAACAATCTCTAGTGTGGCATGCTTCCAAAGTTTTATTTTATACTATTATTTTGAAAATTATTAGACATTTGAAATGCATGTGCTTATAATGTATTACAAAACAAGTCTTTGATGCCCAAGTTGGTATTTTGTGATTCGCCTAAATGAAAAGGGGGGGAGGAAACTAGACGTCCAGCTTGATTAAAAAAAAAGTCTTAATGCTTTGTTCTTTAAAATCACAAAATATCATTTAAAGTAAATTTGTTTATACAATGTTTTATGCCATACTTGGGACTGTTGTGCTTGAATATATCCTTGCATTTGTTCTTCATTAATACAATTGATCTATATTTGCATTTTTGCCAGAGGCATATGTGAATGTTCTAACTGCATGAGTTCTTCTGCAATCTTTGATTAGTGTGTTTAGTCAAAACGACAGCATTTAATTTGAGTTGTTAGCAATTAGGTTTTTTCTGTTGTAGAAGTGATCGTTAATTTTTTTATGTGAATAGTCAAATGCAGGGGCATGGAAAGAAAATGCAATGAATGCAATGAAGTCTTTTTATTTGGAATAGAAAAACTTGGCTATATTTGTTTTCTTTCAGGAAACCAAATACCTGGGTCAATATTTGCAATTCCTTCTGTGTATAAATGAATAATTGTGTTGTGTCCTTTATCATTAAAGTATGCTATTGTCAAACGGTTATTTGCCTGTTAAGATTTATGTTTATATATTAGGATCTAAAAGAAAAGGAGAATGATGAGCTTGATATTCAGTTGAGAATGTTTGATGAGAACAAAGAGGATGACCTAACTGAATTATCACATCGTCTGAATGACATTCGAGCAGAAATGGAATATCCTTTAACAAATCACAAAAATAATCTTGCATGTATTGTGAAAAGGGGATTCATGGGCAAGTCTGTGGATTCTTGTTAGAGTTCTTATCTGCCAGCCCATTTATAGCCATTTATTTACAATAGAACCATACTATGATGCTGTCCTTGAGATTCATGTTGAAGAATTGTTTGTACTGATCATTTGCACAGACTATATTGAAATCAGCACAGTGGCTCACTATATTATAGGTATACCCTGCTCAATGGTCTTGAATAGACAAATGCCTAAGGCAGTATATTTTTCATGTTTGATTTGGGGGGAATAGTTCCCTGACTTCATATTAAGTACATGTAATACTGTTTTTTCAGATTAATTAAATGGTACTCCAATGACTTAGAGATATAATTCAATTTTAATAAATGTCTTATATATATTTTGGTGTTCCAGATATAATTCAATTTTAATAAATGTCTTATACATATATTGGTTTTCTTTAATAACAAAAATGTTTAGATACAGTAGTATGTGAAAATCATGTGGTAGAAGCATCTTAGTATCTGAGCTAGCATACAATGTTCCAATGGCAATGATTTTTTGTGAAATGATCTTAAATTTAAGAGATGGTTGTCATAGTATTATTGACCATTTGTTTCTTACCCATTAAATTTTTTACTCACGGACTCTGGGGAAGTTGGGAAACACTTCAGAACCAAAGTGACCTCTCTGCTGGACTGTTTCTAGGTGATATGTTCTTCCCTCCCCTGCCTCACCTGCAAAACCTGGAAGTAATATTCCCCTCCTTGAAACTCCCACAGTACTTTCTTTGTTCTATCTTATTTATGTACACTTCTCTGCCCCTGTGAGATTGAGGGCAGAAATGTTATGTTTCATCTTTTTCCTCCAATGCTCCTATCGAAGCCTTACACTTAAGTATTGGATAAATGTGTGTGCATTGAATAACAAATGTTTTTATTGTAAGGAATAATATCTAGTGATTTCTTATACATTATTAGTGATGCCAGTCTGCAATGGCTTCTCAAATATTAAATTCTTTTTATATCAATTAATAAATATCTTGTTTTATTCAGTCTTTTCTTAAAACCAAACTTCCCCATAGAGCTATCTTTGGGTCCATTCTTTAGTCATTTAGGGGACCTTATGAGATTTTAATGCAGTAGTCTTATGTGGGGTCTAAGAAGTAATCCATCATATCCTTAATGCTACTTCAGAGAAAATGTTGGCTTTCTAGGTTATTTTTAGGATGTTGGATTACATCTCACCTTTTACCTTTATTTTATATTGATTTTCTAGATCCTTTTATTATAAAAGTGAATTCATTTTTGAACTTCGTTTTATATTTTACTAAAAGCAACAAAACTTCTGCCACTATTTTTATATCCTAAGTAAAATGTGTTTCAACCTCCGTTGCCTTTACTCCCCATCTTTTATCAAAGCATGAAATTCAAATGAATGCAAGTAATAATTTCAGATATAGTTGGTATTTTATCTTGATAAGATAAAACTAGTTTTCTGATCTTTTAGCATTTCAAGGCACGCTCATTTGCCTTCTTCTCTATGTGGAAATGTAAATGGAGTACAAGTAGCTTGCACGAATAATATAGGTCCTTTGTCACAGTCATGAGGAGATCAAGAAAAAACAATTTTCATTGATGACATTTCCTATTCTAATGGTACCAGCTAAAGTCTGGACTTTAAAATATAATGCATGATTGCCCAATTAAGATTTTGACACACAAATTGCAATGTTCTTTAGGTTTGTTTCTCTTGTTAAAAGATTAAAATGATTCCACAGAATCATATTACTTTATGTAAATGTTTAAATACTGGATTACAGAACTGAAAGTTTAGAAACAGTAATAGAAGCAAAATGGTAAGTTTATGTTTTAAAAGTTTTTCCTGCTTTTGTTATGATTGAAACTTTCATCAAGAATCCTTGATATTTTTTCCTTTACTTAATTTCTACTGATATGAATGAAGTGTACCACCTTCTGTATAATATGTTAAAGGACACTGCTGCTGAAAATTACTTATTATCCATCCTACAACATTTTTTGCTCATCAGAAATGATTATTATATCAGGTAAGTGCCCATTTTGAGTACTGAGTTGGATGTTAAAGGAAAATTAACAAGGCAGTGGGGTGTAGGCAATGTATGTATATATACAAACTTAGAATATGAGAATTTGGCTTCTTTATGACACATCTTAAAAATGTGTTCATTTATTTATAATTTAATCAGAAGAAAAAGAACTCTACTTATAAAAATGGAGTACCCTCAGCAATGGGACTCGCAGTAGCAATGAATCCAACAGTTTTTACTGACTTTGATGAATTTTCTTCGCTGGATGATGGTAGCACTGAGGAAGCACTGAAGATTCTAGGGCAACTTAAAGTTTTTATCTTGTACATTTTCATAAGTAAAGTTTTACTGTTATTTCTTTTTTTAATACTATTTATCTAATAATAAATGTGCTCTTACCACCTAAGAAAATAATACTACTAATATTTCAATTTAATGTAATTCCAGTAATGTAATTATTCAAAAATACATGAATATGGTAATAACCGATAAAGCTAAAAGTTTTAGACTCTAGTAACCAGAGATATATTAGAAAACCAAAAAGTTATAAAAAGATTTTTGAGTGACTGAAATTATCTGTAGACTGGTGACCATGATCTTATATTTAACTGTTTGAGAGGCTCTTAGTTGGTCTTCATACTCTAATTTGCAGGATATTCTGAGAACTGAGGTTTTTTGATTTCTCAAAACCTGATTGATTAGAAGGAACAAGAAGGCTTCTGTGAGGTCTAGTACAGTCGCAACAAAAATGACAGCTCTAAAGCAACATAGAGAGCTATTCTAGTTCAGGCTAGTAAAATAATTTTATGAGCATCATGATGTCACAGAGATGTAGAAAATGTTAAAAATAGTATATGCTGTTTTTTAGGCAGGAAAGATGGTAATGCATTAAACGTGATTCTTGTTTTCTAAATTAAGTTCTGATGGTATAAGGGGTGCTGTGCCCATGGGGTACTCAGTTACCTGGGAACATCATTTATACGAAAGCATTTATTCCTCAGTAACTATGAATAAATGAGAAGGTACCCTCATATGGCATGCTTTCATCCTAAGAACATACATGGAAAGTAAATGTGTGACAGGAATTTTTATTTTACGTTCAGATAATTAACCTTGCCTCAAAGAGAACAGTTGTGCTTTCTTTATTTACTCAGTCCTTGGCTAGACTGAGTTTATATTTGAATGTTATTTTCAACCCAAACATGACTTTTCTTTTCTTTTATTTTTTGGAGAGGTTTTTGCTATAGGGTGTGTGCACTTGCCAGAAAGATAGAGACAGAAAGTGAGAAATCACTCCCCAAGGGATATGGCCACGCCACAATCCCTTCTCCTTCATTTTCCTCTTGGGATCTTGGGCATGCACACACATGTGCCCGGGGTGAATTTAAGCCACTGGGTCTGGAACTTGAACCACGATCGACTACATGGGAGCCCAGCAACATAGCCATTACACCAACTGCTGGTCCCACTGATCATGACTTTCCAAAGCCCCAGATTGTAATATACATTACTGTGTATTCTTATTCTTGGTACCTACCTCATGACTAAGGACATAGAAGAGCAATTAGATTCTGTTTGGCTTCATCTTCACACTTTTAGTAGGTTGGCTAGTTATCAGCACACTATATTTAGTGATGTTTATGTCATAATTTGTCTGCAATAGTACTTCTTACTGACTTTTCTCTATTGAATTTATTACTCCCTGGCAAATACTAAATCTTCCCAAATTTTAGTTCAAAAAGTGCCTTTTTAAAATTTTGCAGTATACAAGTGGCCATTTTTAAGGCCAGAATTACCTTGATAGATTACAGAATTAGGGTATGTTTTAAAACCTTTGACACTTGAAACAAATTGAGGCTATACCCATGCATATTAAGTGTGTATATTTTATAAGATGGATCTTTTAAAATATGTTGCATAAATAGATCTTTGGAATAGTCTGTAAGATAAGTAGCTCAGTCCAGTTTTGTAAGCTGTTATAGCCATCTTGAGTAAAAGTGTTGTAGTAAATTCACAATGTTGTTTTCCACCTAATGCCAGGAAACTCACCTCTTAGTGAAATTGAGAACTGTGGTGCCTAGAACCACGTCTGTGTCCATGGATGTAAGACTAGCAGGTCTTTTGTTGTCTTTAACTTTAGAAACAATAGCTTGAGTAAATAAAGGTGATAAATATGTTTTGAAATTAGCAGGAATCCCTGTAAAATAGAATATTAACTCACTAAACATTCACAGTTGATTATACCACAATGGGTTTGGCACTATAACATCCAAATCATTTTTAAACTTCAGCGTATTTCTCCAAAAAGTGTAATGGCTAGAAGGAATTTTTTTCTAACAGTACTAGAAAAAGACTTAGTTCTTTTAATGTGCTGAATCCCTTCTTAAGAAAATTGATTCATATAGCTAGAAAAAATATTCACCAATACTTTTTTCTCTTTTTCAGGCCACAATATTATAAAATAATTGAAGAATGTGTTTCTCAGATAGTGCTGCACTGCAGTGGTATGGACCCAGACTTCAAGTATAGGCAGAGATTAGACATTGATTTTACTCATCTGATAGGTAATATAATCTTTACTGTCCTTTGGTTATATTTTACACATTCTATAAATAGGAAATTAAAGCGTTTTCCATTTAATCACTTGACAGTGTACAACATGGTTTTTCTCAGCATGAATACAGTATATATTAGTCAAGTCAAAGACATTACTGTATACATTATCATCATAATGTTTCATTTTTGTGACTATTAAAGGTTCTGTTTTTTCCCTGATCCCCTCCGTTCCACTATCTGTTATCTGTCCCTTCCTATACTGTCACTAGTATCTACAATTGCCCTCCCTGATATTATAACTTCCAGTCTTTCAATTTTTGCTATAGAGTGCAGACAGTCAGTATATTTTATGCTGGAACATAAAATATCTATCTTTCATAGTCTGGCTTGCTTTGCTGAACATTGAATCTTCCATATCATCCACTTTGTATCAAACATCAGGATCTCATTTTTTTTTAATGGCCGAGTAGTATTCCATAGTGTACATGTAAAGCAGGCACTTTTGAAACTGATTGACTAAAGAATATAGAAACACAGTAAATGCATGTAAATACCAGATATAGTGTATGTGAAAGAGGAGGTTCCGAGGAAGGACATTTAGAAGAAAAATAGGGAGGCAAAGCATTAATGGGACAAAGAAATGTGGTACTATCTGTTGAAGATATTTTATAGTTTTATTAGCTGGACTAGGGAGAAATGTTCACATGTTGAAATATTCACTTTGTAAGCTAAATAATGTGATTGAATGTATAAAAGAAAATGAAATAAAAAATTTAAAACAAAATAATAAATGTAGGTCTCCCTCTCACTGTTCTTCTGTCTGTGCTACTTAATTGCCATAATTGTTAATTATGACGATCGTGAGAGTTCTACCTGTGTGATTAGAAATATTAACCTATTTAATAAATTTCAACACTTCTGAACTCAGCTTAAACTTAGTGCCCCATGAAGAGTCATTATATTATTATAGATGAATGCTTTACTTTTCAGATATATGCATCTAAAATCCTTTAATTTCATATATATTGGTACTTTAGTAGTTTTATAAAAATCATGTGTATAATAGGGCAGGCTTATTTTAGTAATTTGAAACCTTATAAGGGTATCACATAGGTCAATTTGTGTTTCCATAGACTTTGGGTCTTGGAAAGAATTCAAGGTCATCATATTGTTCTTCATGGACTTCTGAGGACATGATCTTATATCACTCTAGACTGGTAGTTAGCAGTACTTTCCAGAACCATCTCTGAAGGCTGATATGGAACCTCCCTGGTGACATGTTATGCTATGTGGCCTTATAGTGGCAAAATTTTATTTATACCTAGTTTATATCACTCTTGCTACAGTTCAAGCATGACTCATTTGTCTTATCTTTGAAGAACTAAACAATAGCTGTTGCATGACTGTTATTTTTCACTCCATAATAGGGCAGAAGCTCAGTAATATTTAAAGATGAATGCCTTATTATTATTTATCATGTATTATTTTCCATTTTTAAGAATATTGTACACTTATTGAAGATAATCTAGAGACATACATGAGACAAACCACTAGTCACATCACCATTATTCACTTTTCAACTCAGTATATTTCCATGTATTTCTCTTTATCTATCTATGTATCTGTCTTCTAATTTTTCATAGAATATTATGAGAATTTTTCCACTTTATCCTTCAAAACATGACACCATGTCTATGTAATTTTTAATTTTATAGACTGTCATAATCACCTTAACTAGTCCTTTCTTATTTTACATCTAGAGTGTCTTCATGTTTTCATATTTATACATTAATGTGCTATGAACATTCTTTGTATAAATGGCCTTTAGATAGAGAGGCAGAAAGTTAGAAATCACCCCCTGGGGAATGGCCACGCCACAATCCCTTTTCCTCCATTCTTCTCTCAGGAGTTTGGGTATGCATGCACACATGCCTGGTGTGTTTCAAGCTGCTGGGACCTGGACTCCTAACTGCGGTTGGCCACATGGGAGTTCAGCACCTTAACCACTATACCACCTGCTGGCCCCAGGATTGATTCTTATAAGTGAGGTTAAGAACTTGCAAAGTTCAAATACTTTTGACTTTGCAAAGGTCAAATACTTTTCAGAAAGCTCGTGCGTATTTACCTTGCCCCAGCAATGAATGTGAATGCTGGTTTCACTATATATTTTTCACTGAACTTCATAAACTTAGTAATTTTTTTCATATTATGTTGAGGGAGTCATACAGCCTATTTCTAAATATGTGTCTTGGCTTACATTTATAGGTCATCGTTGACATACCTACTCTACTGTTGATTTTGGCTAGCTCATTCAGAATTTAACAGACATTGCTTTGTGTATTGTGTTCCAGGCACTTATGACTGTGTACTATTGATCAAGAGTATTGAGTGAGGAGAGATGGAGGGATCATGTGAGAGTGCATAGTCAGTGACGTAAACGCACTATGACCTTTTCTACACATCATGTCTGTGATTGTGAGCAAATCATTCAATTTCTCTAGGTTTCAGTTTTCACAACTCTAAAGTTGATTAAGTCAATTATATTAGTAGTCCTTAATATTTTATGATAAAGTCCTTTTCTAGAGGCTAATAAATGCTATGGAACTTGAATTAGGACATTCATACATAGATAGATCCAGCCATGCAGTGGAGTTAAGGTGGCTGGATTCCATATGGCTGATAGTGTGGGTTAAGTCTCAGACCTGGTTAGAGAGATATGTTAGGGTGTGTGTGTGTGTGTGTGTGTGTGTGTGCATGCGTGCGCATGTATGTGTGCATGTGTGTGTGTTTGTGTGCTTTCCCCAAATCCCAAAAGGATTAAGAGATACAAGAGTAGGATTTGAAGTGGGACCGTGGCTCATGGGGGGTGCTTTCTCACTTTCCTAATTTTTTACCTCTGTCTGTCTCTGGGAAACATACATGCCCTCTGGTAAAATTTTAGAAAAAGAAGACACATACATATACATGCTTGAATACAGACAAAAACTATCAGATATTTCAAGAATTCCTTGAGGGACCAGCAGTTAGCGTAATGGTTATGTCGCTGAACTCCCATGGAGCTGAGTGCATTTTGAGTCCTGGACCCAGTGGCTTAAACTCACACCAGGCGCATGTGCGTGCGTGTCCAAGATCCCGAGAGGAGAATGGAGGAGGAGGGATTGTGGGGTGGCCATCCCCTTTGGGGGGTGATTTCTTGCTTTCTGTCTCTGTGTCTCTCTCTGTTTTTCTGGTTAGTGCACGTGCCCTATAGCAAAAATCTCTCAAAAAAATAAAATAAATAATAATAATAAGAAAAAAGAGTTCCTTGGAAATCTAATAAATTGATTTTAAAATCACTTGTACTTAAGGAGGTAAGAATTTTTCTAATTTTCTAATTTCACAATTTAATAAATCTAAGCTATTTCAAAAATCAGATCCCTCCCTAAAACTTTTTAATGCCTTCTCACTGAAATTTAAATAAAAATAAAAAATATTACCAACTTTGGCTAGCGCCACATAAATATGGCCACTCTTCAACCTCATCACTTACCACTTTCTACATCATTTGCTTTGTTCCAGTCATACATTAAAAAAAAAAAAAGTTGTATTGAGGTAAATTGACATAGAAAAACTATATTTAAAGTATATATTTTAATAATTTTTAATATTTATTTTTTTGGAGAGGTTTTTGCTATAGGGCATGTGCACTCACCAGAAAGTGAGAGAGAGAGAGAGAGAGAAAGTGAGAAATCACCCCTCCAGGGGGGATGGCCACGCTGCAATCCCTTCCTCATTCTCCTCTCAGGATCTTGGGCATGCACGCACACATTCCCAGTGTGTGTTTAGGACATCAAGTCCAGGACTCGAACCACGGTCGACTACATGGGAGTCCAGCACCACAGCCATTACGCCAGCTGCTGGTCCTGATAAATTTTGATATTCATAAATACACTGAAAACTATTTTTAAAGTCAGGATAATACGTATCTCTGCTTCCCCCTAAAGTTTCTGCATTTTCCTTTTAGTCCCTTCTTCTCATGCCTCCCATCTCTCCCCATCTTAAGGCAACCACTTATGTCTCTTTCACTGGTTTCATTTTATTACATATTTTTTTCTTATTAGTTTCATTTTCTAAAATTTTATACATATACAAACATATATCATGTACTCTCTTTTTGTCTTTCTTTCATTCAGGACAATTATGCTGAGATTCATCCATGTTGTTCTGTTGCATCTATCAATCGTTCTTTTACACATCTCCTATTGCTGAGTAGTGTTCCAGTATATGAGTATACCACAATTTATTTAGAGATACACTTGTTTATGTTCCTTTGGGTCCTTCAGGTTTTGACTATTATTAGTGAAGTTGCTCTGGACATTCATTACGATATGAGTGCAAACATTTTCATTTTTTAGGGGTAAATAAGTAGGTGTAGAATGACAATGTGCAAAATAGACTTTATATATAATTATGAGAGATACAATATTGCTCAAAAGAGGTTCCTCAGTTCTTTGTATTTTGAAATGTTTGGTGAGAGCTGAGAATTTTTAAAAATTTTAATTTCTTTTATACATTCAATCACATATGTCACTTAGCTCGTAAAGTGCATGTTCCGACATGAAAACATACATTTCTCACCATCCAGTTGGGAATACTATACACATTATCATCAACAGATAATAGCCCATTTCTTTGTCCCATAAACGTCTTGCCTCTCTATTTTTTTCCTAAATGTCTTAACACTCACCTCCTTCTCCCACCCTCTTCCCACACTGTATCTGGTATCTATAACTTTTCTATGGAGATTTGAGAAATTTGAAGTTTGTTTCCTTATATATGTGATACATTTTACTCCAGACCAGCAGTTTAAGTAAAATCTTTCACTAGGTAGCCTGAATTAATGAACGTATCTTCCCCGTCTACTTTTTTTTAAAGCTGATTTTGAGGCTTAATTTAAAACATGGAGTTATTGTTACCTCTCCACTAATAACAAACTACACACATTTTTTGGAAGAATTCTGTAATTATAAGAGTTGAAAAATAAGAGAATTCCTTTAAAATGATGATAATTTAGTCACATAGATTTCTGTATGCCTGCTTTTGTGTCTGAACAATAGTATCATTGAATTCAGTTAGTACGATAAAAAAAGAAAATGTGATAGATTGTGTTTTATGTGTAGTATAGGTCAGTTTCCCTTTAACAGCAGCTGACATAAAAATGATAGTCTGCATAGTAGAATTATAGGCTGACAGGCATCTTTTGCCTAGAGATACCATGTCATAATTTCTAATCACTTTTGTTCAATCTAAATAGATTCTTGTGTGAACAAAGCAAAAGTTGAAGAAAGTGAACAAAAAGCAGTGGAATTTTCAAAGAAGGTAAGGCTTAGCTTATAACATATTGACTTTAATAGTTAAATTAGTAATTTAATCAAAGCATATATTCTACCTTGTTTCTTTATATGATGCCCTATAAATGTTGTTTTATTTATATAATATTTTATATTTCTGGAATCAAACATAACCACCAAATAGTGATTTATTTTTTAATAAGATAAAGTTGCTACTGT